TACGAATTTCCCGTACAACCCCAAATACTTCGCATCGAACCACATCTTTCGCGAGGAAGCAAGGAGCAAACGGAATATGAAGGAAGATATTCTTTAAGACGCTCCAACCTTCCATCCTCCGAGTAGAATATCCTCCAAAGTAGCCTTATCCAGAACACTCGGCTCGCGGAAACGTTAATCGTACGCCATCCGTTACCTTAACGTACGACCCTCCTGACCTATAACGCGACTGTTTCGAGCAGAATGTAAAATCGAGAAACCGAGGACGGGTACGGCATGCCAATGTAACGTCGTAGATCAGCCCGTGATCGTACCATAAAACAGTCGAGCACGGTATTCGGTGAATTCGAGGCCGTTGATAATCAAAATTACTTGAATTCCCGATTGGCGAATTTAACGCGAACCTGTCATTAGGTCCGGCGAGATTTCCGTAATGGCGGCGACGGAATGCTTGGCACACAAGGGAAGAGTCGAAGAAAGAGGGCGAGAGGAAAATTCGAGGGCGGATTTTACGATCGTTCTAAGACGACGTCGAAAGTCCTTCGACGCTCCTTCCGGTTCCATTAGGACCCCGCCTGAATGAAACCCTACTGGGTTCGATTAACTTTCCTTTATGCTTCGCTCCCTGGACGATTCTCTGCGGCGAAAAATCGGTCAACTATTTTAATTAATCCATACGGACTCGATCTATGCCTGCGAGACGAACGGAACGTTAGAAAGAGATGAATGTTTCTTCGTTAATTTTTAGGTGTACCAATAAACGATCTACTAGTTCTTAAACGAATTTGTACAATGTTTTGAATTAAGAATAGATTTGCGTGTCTTTTTTTGTTTTTTTTTTTAACGGTGGGAACTGTTGGAGAACGAAAACAGATGTCATTGGTACAGCATTATTTCGCTTTTTTAAAAAACGCTTGTTAACCCTTAATTACAGACCACTAGTCTTACATACTTATAGCATTTGAACGGTACCCTACTCAGTTTTCGTTTCATGACTTCTACCGTTTCTTCGACTTGCTTTTGCATCTCGCCGTTCCATGAAAATTCGTTTTCGTTGTACGTAAAACGTACGACAAGATTGCCAGCATTTGTCTCCTTTCCAAAGGAACGAAAGCTCCTCAGTTTTCCCGTGGATAAGGAAATCTATCCTCTGTAAGGTATACGGTAAGTAGAGGATCCTTCCGAAAAGAAAATATTGTCTGTGAAAGCTCTGCTGTTGGGATTAAAATGCGGATGATACTTGCTTAAATGATGCAAATAAACAGTGCTTTAAGATTTATGAAAATAATTTAATATTGTGATTGTGTATAACATTCATAGTTGCGATATTTTTCTAAGCTTCTTATTAGGTTTTGTCATAAATAATTTCTACTTTGCTTTGTTAAATTTATGCCGATTCAAGGCACTTTAACAATTACTATCAATCTTTGCAACATTCCGCATTAACTCTAATCTTAATTATTATTAATGTTCAGTTTAACTGAAACCTGTGATAATTATTACTTAATTGTTATTTAGTAATTGTTTCAGTGTTTATGATGAAAGATATTTGTGATTCGACTTGATACAAGTATCATATATTTATTATGTTGAAATATAGCGAAGAAGGTGTCGGAAAATATAAGTGTACTTTATATTGTTAAAGAGATTGAGCAATATTCAAAAAATTCACCTAATAGTTTATTTCTCATGAAGATTTACGGTCTTTTAATTGTATGAAAATCATATCCTGGTCAACAATATGATAACATTTATAAATGGGCCGCAGATATTTATGCAAATGTAGATTTCTATGGACTAATTCACAGCAATTATAGTAAAATAATTATAGTAAATTTTAAGCAATAGTGTGATACACGCCCACCTACAAAAAGACTTTGCACATAAAATTGTTTCCTTCTCGAAAGCATTCAATATTTATTCGAAACATTTTTCGTGATCATCAACGATTTCGAAGGTATTCGCAAGGTTCGATTTAAACAATTCACAGTGTATGGTATTTCAATTGTATTTCATTTATAGCTTTAAATCACCCTGTATTTTTGAATGGCGTCCAAGATTCCCGTAAACGGCGCGACCTACTTTCCCTTGGGGGGGTGCGTACGTTTGTAACAGTAGTAGTAAAAAGATGCTGGCTCAGTGTCCCGTCACTGACCGCCGCACAGGTGTCGAGCTTGGGGTTGGTCGGCGAAGGTGTGTGAGTCAGAAACCCGATTGACCTAGTAAGGAAACGGTACACTGCTAAAAATTATGTTCCGCTTCGAACGACAATATCTCGGGAATAGAAACTTGTATCAATGTGAAACAAAAGGAGTTTTAAAACGGAAACAGCGTTTCTCCTGACAGTGTACCTTTCGTTGCGGAAAGATTGACTATTCCAAAAGACTGAACGGTTAAAATGACCTGTGCCATAATGTGGCGTGTTTCATTGTCATAAAAATCGTAAAATGTTAAATAGGATCGTCAGACGTAGACAGTAATACCAGTAGTTTTTTTTTATAGACAGAAGTATAAACGTATGACGGTCAAACTGATTTGTTTTTAACTATAAAATTGTAGTCTTTAGAGCATTCACGAATTCAACTCGCTATTGATTGTATACAAGTGTTGGAGTAATTGTTCCGAAACGCTGTTGTCTTTAGTTATTTTAATGGTTGGCTTAAGTATATACTTACATTACAAATACAAAAGTGATTGTCGAAAACCATATGAAAGATACAATTTCTACCAACATCAATGCTCTGTTATCGACGCTCTAATGCGAAGTTAAGCATTTCCCTCTGAACTTTTCACGTGGTGTAAATTGAGCCGGCAGAGAAGCTCGCTCGAATATGCCATTGACTAGAAAACCGCGTTTGTTAGTCATGGACTGATCTCATAATGAAGAGGACGTCGATCCTGTATGCTGGCTTTCCACACGCCTGCGTGCAAACGGGTATACCATATATAATAAACGGTCTATGCGTGCCGCGTAAACCATCAAGCACAGTTGCTATTATTAATTATCCGCTGGTGTACTCCATCAGTGGCTAATCAATTGGGAGCCAGTGACTAATGGGCGTGAATCTAATGGCCAACAGGAAAACGAATCGAGCAACTCGTTGGACAAGTATTCGACGAGTGTCGGTTGCGGTTACCGTGGGAAAACCGTCAATACGTATACAGGGTGTCTCAACTTATTTGATCACCTCGAATAATAATGACTTAACAGTACACTATATGAAAATTTAGAGGTGTGGAACTTAAATAGTGCAATTTGTCATGTACTGACACGTGGATTTTGTATTACCATTGCTATGACAACAATAGCATTATTAACGACAATAGCATTATAACTTCATTAACAACGGGTTTGGTACCATGGGCGTGGCCAAGGGGGGGCAGGGGGCAAGTGACTTTTGCCCCACCCTACAAGAAAAAAATTGGATTTTGAACCCCCCCCCCCCCTCCCGTCACCAGAGTTACAAAATTTTTGCGTAATATTTAATATTGCAGTATAATTTGAAACACGACTAACAGCCTCTATTAACAAACCGCATATATTTTGAACGATTTATGTTTTTAAAAACAAAATAAAGTGTCTGGTTACGTATAGCCTTTTTCACTGTGACAGTCGATATGTTTTTGCCCCTACCTGATTGATAACCTGGCTACGCCCATGTTTGGAGCGGTTACGTTCAATGATATGGAAAGCACCAGTTTCTCGAAGGCATTGACAAAGCCTCTCGAATGTACATCGAGATGGTGGATTACGCTGGGGACACTTTACACTTTACAGCATACATTTCTTTCGCTCTTGTTGCGTTTTTACCGCAAGCACCATAAACTAGCACCATATCTACACACTCAATATTACTCTATTTCATTTTCAATTGTGCTTTTCCAACACTCGAAAATGTACGTCGAAGATATCTTCTACAATATTGAACTGAATGTTACGAAAGCGACTGTAGTATGCTATAAGTCGAGAACGTTTCTGTTAGTAAATATTGACACGTAAACGTGTTGAGTTAAGATTAATATTGCTGCTATTAGAATTTCAAAATAAATGGAACTTCTTCAGATATTTTCATAACGTGATAAACATTCGATTTTGTATTATTAAAACAAATAGATACAATACATGACATTTTATGTCTCAGAGACCTAAAATTTCCCAGAAGTAAGAAAATAATTTTTCTTCGACAGACAATCAGGCGTTGAATAAAAACAATACCGTGTACGTCGACCGTAAACTGCTTTCATCGAAGTATCAAACTTTTCACTTTAAAAAAACCGCCTGTTTATACCCAGATCGATGCTACAAAGTACATGAAAGGGTGTTGCTACCTTATCGGCGTTCTGTCCGCGTCGTTCCTTGTCTTGGCCAGGGGTGGGGCCGAAATACCAAAGTGAAGAGCCCCGCTAAAACTTCCCAACTTTCCGAATCGCCTCGTATTTCCTGGAAAGTCGCGCAAACTTTGGGCGAAAGTCTGGAAAATTTCCTCGAGAATTCTGCTGGAAGGTATTAGCACCCTGAAATCGACAGCACATCGTTCGTGGGACGTGGAACAAACGACCGGCCGTTTAACGTACTCGTGATGTCACGAAATTGGCAACAACGGGATCTGACTGTATTATTTACGTCGCTTTGCAACCGTAGCTTATGCATTTTCTTATCTGACGCCGAACGGACCTGGACATTTTCTTTTCCTTTCTTTTTTTACACACACTCCCCTACCATTTTTTTAAATAGTCTAAGGATTTTATGCATTTATAGCGTAAGAGAACATGTAAAATAACGTCAATATTAATACTTTCATGAATTATGATAGGATTTGTAATTTATTTATAAGGTGATAGAAATACTGATAGAGACAAACGTCGATTTAATTCATCTTTTTGTCAATTATTTTATGAACGTTTAAATATGCACGCAAATACACGAAGTTTACTGATTATAAAGAAATTGCACGATTAATGGATCCGTGTTTTTAAAATAAATTCTTGTTCAATTACAGGAGTGGAATGACGTGAATATGAGATGGAACGTGTCGGAGTACGGGGGTGTAAGAGACCTCAGGATCCCGCCGCACAGACTTTGGAAGCCCGACGTTCTCATGTATAACAGGTAATTTAACGCTGTCTTCATCCGTTCAATATTCATGGGATAATCTGTTTCATTTTTACGCTCGTAACTAGCGAAAAGAGCGTTAAAATCCCTTTCGCGTAGCTTACATGGCCCTTTAATGCCTTATATAAAGTGCCAGCGAAATAGCCGATTTTCGAGAGGAGAAATATCGGGTTGTAACGCATCAACGCTTCAAACTAATTGTGAGTTAACGTAAAACGCATTCCGCCAGTGTAACAAAATTACTATCGTAATTCATTTATTTAGATTTATTTCTATAAAAAGTTTTGACCAACAAATGATGTTGATGTAATTTAGAGATTTTTTAGGTCGAGTAAAAATTAAGGAAATTGTAAATTCTATATTTTGAAACACGAATGCAGTCTTCCCTTTCTATGATAATGCTTTGCCAATGTATTTGTGATCTCATCAGGATCACTATCGCATAATGAGGTTAGCTGACAGGAGGCGGGTCTTGTTTTATTCACCGGCCAATGAAGCTATTACAAAATCATGTCCACTATTCTCTATAATTGGGCTGCTGTTCCCTAACAGTGTCACTAAAGGGAGAAAATACTATGCAATAGCTTCAGAAATATGTTAGTTTATCATATATGAACTCAGTAGTGTGAAACATATAATAAAATACAGATGATTATACAGGGTGTTCATGCTATTACTAGCCAGAGTTTTTCTTGCAAATAGTAAATATTAGAAAGAAATGAAAGAGGTAAAAGTAGTACTGTATTTGCAAGCAACGTAACGGCGTACATAATTTGTTTGTATTTGTACTTTTTATTTAGAAATGAAGGTGACTTCAAATTTTTTAAATGGAACGTTATATATTCTTTTATATCATATGAAAGCGTGTGTTAAGACAAAAAGTAAGAAAAAAATGTTAAGAAAAAGGGTAGTGTAAACACAAAAAAAATTACATACGCCATTACGTTGCTTGCAAAAGCAGTACTACTTTTTCCTCTTTCACTTTCTTCCAATATTTACTATTTGCAAGAAAAACTCTGGCTAGTAGTGGTGCAAACACTTTGTAGTTAGATAATTAAATTTCAATAAACATCGTGTGAAAGCCACTTGTAGGGTACTAACAGAAAAATCACCATCAATAAGGGGTTTACGTTTGATAAGCTAGTATAAATATTTTATTCGTCGAAACCACTGTTACACTAAAAATAACAATGCTGCTAAATGGTATTCAAGACCCCTTTGTTTTTGTTTTAATTCACTGATTGTGTAGAATAAAAACACGCAAAATGAGATTTTCAAAAACTTAAAGAAATTGTTAGTATAAATGAAAACATAAATGTGAAAAATTGTGAATTCTTTATACTAGCTTGATGAAAAACCGTACCCAGATCGTAAAATATTTTTGTGTGGTAAACAGTCAAGCTAAAAAATCGATACACTTGGATTATTAATTCAATATATGTCACCGTAATTCCAATATAAAGTGAACTTCGTACATCTGTAAAGGATACTGATTTACATACAGTTCATATAATAAAATATCTAGTATACACATAAATATGTAGATCGTTTTTAGATTTGCATGGATTGCGACAACTTTTCTCAAGTTTATACCTTCTAAGCAGATATGGGTAAAACATATACTTCAAGAAGTAAATAATAAGTATCTATTTTATTTGAAATTCTGTGTGTATGTATAAAAATAAAATAGTTTCATGGTCGCGGTAACATTTTAAAATACTATTGAATAATAACATTTCAATTTATGCGACACTGAAAATACTGCGACGTTATTTTGAAATATTTTATTTATCTTCATATATTTGCACTTTGTTCGTAATCTCCAAAATAATCGTGTGGAAAATAGTGATATAGATTCATACGTTTATAGACATAAATGTTATTACAAGAAACATTTGAAGTCTACATATTTAAAATCCAAAGCTGAAGCATTTCATTTGGTACTTCAGGTTATAATAATAAAAATATTGTACTTGTTGAAAGATTGCTTCGAATTTAAAATAGTATATTTCATTTGTACTGAACGGTATTTATTATATAAAACAATATTTGAAATATTTTTTTTCCAAATTTTACCCAGCTCTGCTGTCAAGCGAATGTAATTTACTGTAACTCACCGTGTCCACGAATTTCTGGAAAGCTTGTAAACTTCTTTCATCTTTCGCTTGATTGTGACATCATACACAGCGCATATTAATTTCGCCATGGAACCTGTCCGAGAATACAGAACAAGCTCTATACGTGGTCAGTTAACATTCACAAAGCAAAATATTTCCGTTCAAGGCGGAGTCTGATTTAAGCTTGTCCGGATTGCGTCTGAATCTGACACCAAGAACACTTCGTGAATAGTTCATTTACAGGACAGACAATTAAAAGTATAGAATCCCCGCCTCATTGTCAACCGAGTACTTCTCCAAGCAAAGAGATTAATATTTATGAAAAGCTTGAAACATTTCACTTTGTCCTCGACGGTTTCGACGGCAGTATAAAAGGTCGTGGTGCATTTTCTCGTCACTTCGATTCTTTCGACAACCTCGTCGGAAGTTGGAAAAGAAATGTTCGAAATATAATATTTAAATTTTCGCCGCAAGCAATTCGAATGAAAATCTAACTGTTAGAAAAATCTCGTCTCGGTGAATGTTCGTTCGGGCCCGCGAATGCCGGAAACTTGGAAAAATCGATGTGTAAGACTATTTCCAGTGGAACACTGATACCGACTATGAATCGAAAACTGTCGTTCGGGAACACCGAATCTTTGTTCTTCAAGTTTACAGCGTAGTCTGTAGAATGCCCTTCCGTTCTCGCAGTCTACTGCCTTTCCGGTGTTTCAAATGTTTCTACTCGTCTACATCTCGATACTTCTCTTCCATTTACTATCGTGTATTTTTATAAATTTATTATTCGATTATTTCGCCAGAGGGAATTATAGGTGCAATAAATGTACTGGCTTCAGAAAATTATGGGTGTTAAATAGAATCCATTTTCCGAGCTACGGGAACTCAAATTAGGAGGGGACCATACCCTTTTTGGTATTGGTTTATAGGTACAGCAGGTGGACAGAATATAAGCCCTTTTTTTTACACTGTAATTGCGATTTAGATTTTGTAATTAAATTACATTTTTCCCAACTCTGGTATTTATTATGCTAGTAAGTAGAAACGGAATGTAATGATCAGACGCGTTAGGTAAATCTTATTCAATTGCACACGTATCTAGTAGCTATTCGAAGTCGATTTTCTCGAAAACTAAGTCAAGAATAATAAAATTTTATTCTATATTTTTTTTCTTATTTGTTCATTTGGAATCACGTGGTGTCCATTTTCACGTAGTATTCGGCCAAACCCTGTATTGATATACATAGATCAATATCAACTCATTTTGAAATTACATACAGTTGTTCACAGGTGCATCCGACCATTAGACATGTGCGGCATATTTTCAGTGTTTAATTAATGTTACAATCAAAATTAATGATTATGATTTACGTTAGTATAAACCTCGATTAACCCTTTCGCGTGGTATATCGGGCCAAACATGAGAATTTCAAGATAATTACTTATCTAACATCCTACCAAAAATTAAACCAGTTGTACCTTACACATGTATTTACATATTAGAAGACGTGTGAGATTTGCACAACTTTGAGCGCACGTCCGAAGCGTAAAATGGCTCGACGCGTAACCGCCAAGGCGTTGATTGTGGCACGCCCCGTCGGAACTTAAATCGTAGGCGAAAGGGTTAATGCGCTTTAGATTAAGATACCGTTAACTAACAAAGTGTGCGTAATTCACTAGAAAAAGTGTTGTTATTTCTGAAAGTACCAGAAAACGCATAAACTGCATTTAAAAAGAAACTAGTTTACGTTATGTATAACAAATTAAAATTTATATTAAAATCCCCGCGGTATCGAATGAAGTATTAATTCATTGCAAATAAGTTTCTTTAAAAAAAGGTTAAGCTGGAAAAAATAAAATTTAAAAAGAAATATAATACAAGGTCTTAGAAACTTGGGGCTTCAAGGGTCGCAAATTCATTACCAATCGACCCAAGTCCACTCGCACCAACACCCCCACTCAAAATACAAACGACCAATAAGCATTTCCGTCATTTTGCCCTAAACAGCAAGGGCGTCCTTCAAGTTAGAATCGATCTTAAGCTGAAGCAAGAAACATCGTTCTCCATTCAGTGTTCAAATTAAACTTTTGAACGTGACATCTGCGTCAACACATTCGAATTCGACAACAGTGTGGGTCAAGAGAAAGTTTAATCCAGTATTTTCCAATATAATCAGTGATTCATCTCATAATGAAGTGATTCAAGTACACAACTAAACGATGAAAATTCCAATAAAATCATATTGATCGTCGAATAAATATTCCAACATGTATAATCGTCGGACCAGCGAAACATTGCATTTTTCTACGGAATTAAACGTCTCGTGTCGCCTTGTTAATTTCTCGAGCATGATCGAAATTAATCGGAACACGTATAAAATATACAAAATCGAACGATCAAGTTTATTCGCGAACTGTGTGCTTCTCACGGAGAGTTCGTTCCCCGTGGAATAATTAATTTTACAACGATATATTTCCCCGACGCCCACGGCATCCGCCGTGCATTCAAAGTGAATGGACGCTGACCAACTTCCGTCGCACAATTGGCCTCAAACGCAGGAACCAATATTAATCTCCGTGGTGCACGTAGGTCGTCGTCAGCCGGCTTGCAAAGATGGTGGTACAGGCTGAATCGCGTCGAGGATCGATCAATTAGCCGCTTTGTCGCCTCGTCACGCCGCGTTTCTCGCGTGCTCCACTTTTCACCGGCTCACTCGAACGACGGGAGTGGATGTTCTCGTTCATTCTGTTTTAGTTCCCTCGGGCTGCCGCGTAGCCCTCGATAAGATACACCGATCTTGAGTAACGGAATCGATCAAACGAATTCCCTCGATTAGAGGAACGATCGGTTACTGGTAGATAAATATCACAATTGAGTGTATT